ACCCCCCCCCCTTACAAATCTTGTCCCCTGCTCTCTGAGAGGCAGTGGGACCCAAGACAGGAGGAAACATTGAACATTGCTCCTGTCTCAATGCTTTGCAGTACCTGGTTACCACCCTTCTCCCTTTTGGCAGCCGACACACTTGTCTGTTGTTAATTGTGCTTGCAAAAGTGCAGGGAGAATGGAAATGAACATTTCAACAGTATTGTTGCATATATGGCAAAGAGAAGAAGAAGAAGCAGAAAAGAGCAGCAGCTAATTAGTGGTCTTAAACCTGTGTGATGAAAGAAAGCTGTCTTCTGTTCAAGGAAAGCAGCTGAAGTTGTGTGCTCTTCTGGTTGAGCTATTTGTTAAAATTTGGGACTCTGACGTCCCCTTTTTTAATGTTTACTGACTTTGCTCTGAACCCTTTGCTTTGGGAAATACAGGGAGGTCCTGAAGCCCATGCCTTTCCATTACAGGCACTATAGTTACTGCAGGGGCAAGCGATGTAACCTGAGGCCAGCGTGGTTAATTATTAGGATCACATTCTGCATGTATCCTATGCAATGCTCTGAAGCCAGAGACAAGCTGCAGAGTATGTATAAAAAAGGGCTTCAATTTCTACAAGCCTTTTTAGCAGTGGATCAGCCAAGGAATCCTGGTTTCCTACTGCTTTGTGTGCCGAGGCTAAACTCCTACAACAATTCTCTGTGGTCTCACCTTGATGCTTTTCCAAGCTGTATAATTGCTTGGTCCCAGTGACATCTATGGGAGCTCAGCATCTAAATGCCTTGAGAAATCTGACTTGGAAACTAGTTCCATTTTTCAGAAGTAACTTAGGAATTTTATTTCCTTTGATTTTTTTTTTTTCATTTCTATTTCTACTGGTTTTTATATCTAGTAAGTCTGGAATTTATCACACAGAGGTGAAATTTTTCTCTCACTGAAACTGCAAGTAACAGTGTTGGAATTCATTCTGAAGGGCTTTATCTAACCAGCTCAGAAAAGGATTAGAAGGCTGACAGGTCTGTGTTATTGACCTCCAATGCTGCCACATGCATCAGGAAGGCAATATCTGTCTATGTGCAAAGTGATGAATTAAAAATGCAGATTTGCATTGTGCACAGCAAAACCCATCCTTGCATCTAGACATCACCTACCTTAGAGATTGTATTAGGTCCAGGAATGTTCATGTTCATCAACTGGTTCTTATTTTACTTTCTGAAAAAAATAAAGGAGCTAGAAGAAAATTAGAGCTTAATTTATTCCACACTACATTTATAAATCATATATACACGTCATATAAGAAATATTTCAATGAGAATGTAACAATTTGTTCAACTCTTAATCATAATGACAGTAGTAATAGAACACTAGAACTACCCAAAAGTTGCAATTCTTCTCTGTATGTTGAAAACCAAGAAATTAGAATTGAGCACAGACAAACTGTGATCAACAGTGAAAACTCTGCATAGGTACTACAAAAAGCTCAGCAATAAATGTGTCTGCCTGTGTGTATGGTGATATATATTACCTCCAGCATATCTTGATGTATACTGTCCCCAATGTGTATTGATATGTACTGCCTCCATATCTATTGCTAAGAACTGAGTACTGGGAAAACAATCATTTTACTCTTCTTTCTCCTTACTCTGAAAGCTTTCATCTCTGTGGACAGATTCAGGAATGAACTAATGTTTGTACAAAGATCCTCCAGTGAACTGAATGGATATGCAGATGCGCAAGAAGTTAAGCAAGTATCACTGTTTGCAAGATTAGTGCCTTCTCCCTAATGCAGTATGTCTTACTTCTAAGCACTAACACAAATCGATTTACAAGAGTGGGAAAAGGAGTGAGGACAGATTGAAAGTGGCTGATCTCAACACATCAAGGCTAGTGACCAGTGAGAATCTGCCTGGGTTGGAAAGATGTTTTTTAAGGCATTTTTGGGTAATCCCATGGTACAAAGAGATCAATTAACATCAGAATTACCTTACAGGTCTTGAAGTCCAAACAACAAATTCTTCCTTTGTCACACAGATTCAAGTCGACCTGCCATAGAAGATCCTCATGGCATGCCTTGGCAAGAGTATTTAAAATATATAACTGCATGGCTTTTAAAACATTTCTGGTGCAGACCATTAAAATTAAATTCTCAATCCATTGGATAGACACTGGTGTAGCACAGTTCTGTCCTGAACTAGGATCAGTTTTGGTTGTGGTGGGGGAAAACAGAAGGACAAAGCAATGCATGGACGGTATTTCACAGGACAGTTTTGGTTACACTATCATAAAATTTCTGGACTACTGCCATTTGGTTTTTCTTTTGACAGAATCCTTCATCATTTTCCCTTGTGGTTGCCTGAGGTGTAAATGGGTTTCATTAGCCAGTTGCCATACCATTCCTGACTGCTTTTTCTCTTGGTCCCTACCTGGCCCAGCTCCCTGGCAGGGTGAGGACACAGGAGACACTGAGATGCTGTGGGAAGTGTCACAGTTGAACAGGTGACAATCTTCCCTCTGCTGTATGAAACCAGTATTTCTATTACAGTTCCCACTAGAGGTTCCCCATAGAAATGGAAAACATTTGGATAACCTTTACAACCTCTGGAAATAAAGCCAGATAGAAAAATCTGTTGCCGGTCTCTGGCAATGAATTCTTAGGTTAGTGGCAGCCTCAGAGACAGCCTGAAGAATCAGCAGTTACTTACTTCACAAAAGAAGGCAGATCCTTCTAACACTGCTTCAGAAAATGTAGACCCCACCAAGAACTTTATGGCTTCAGGGCAACTGGATATGATTATTAATTTGTCTGCTACAAAGACTGTCTTTTCTAAGTACAATATTTGGGAACTGAGACTCTTTATACTCTGATTTATATGTTAAATTAAACAATAGCTATAATGAGGACAGGCTCTGACTGGAAATAGAGATTTTCATAAAGAAAAATTGAATGGATACCTCGAGTCAAATTTTGGCTCAGGACTTGTTACATCTGTGCCCATCTGTGTTGCAGATGTCTGGTGTGATCTTTCAAATACCAACCAGGGGCAATTTGTCCGCGACCAGTAGATGTTAAACCCCCCCCCAACAAATAAGGCGTTAATGTGACTTCCAAAAGTTTGTAATGGTTGTGCATCAAATTTACTCTGACATCAGAAAAATTAAGCGATTCTCGAAATCTCATCAAGCACTTACCTGCCATGTCAGGTATCCAGATAATTTTGAAAATCTGGACTCAGTTTCCTGCTTCTGAAGTGGTGAAATCGCTCTTTCCATGTATTGAGATGCACTAAGACATTCTGGTAATGAGAACCATGAAAATAATTAAAAGAAACCTTCTTCTTGCTTGGGAATACTGGAAATTGCCTTTTGGAATTTGCAGAGGAGAAAATCAATAAGAGAAATGGAACAAACATAAATGAAAACATATCTTGCCCTAACTGGGTCTTTACTCACTGTGGGATTTAGGGAAGAGCTAAGTGCTTGCTTGAACATTTTCACCTTTATTTTTTTGTTGTTGTTATTTTTTTTTAAAACTACCTTCCATAACCCTCTTGTGAATACCACCTCTTCTGGGGCTACTTGGAAGGTACAAGCAGATCTGAAGGGAAACATAGATCATGGACTACATCTCTGCACCGAGCTCATCTACATTGCTCTGCTTAATCCTGCATGTTAATGAAAAGAATGCCCGAGGGAAGGGCTTTGGGCTGTAGCTGGAACTGAAGTGCAGTAATGTTTCCAGTCATCCCTGAGCTTGATATACTTGAGAGGTGAAGCAAGGCGGAGATGGTAATAGACTATTTTCATATCCTTTTTGACTACCTCACTCCCACATGGGCCTTAGTTTGAGAGAAGGGATTTGTCTCTGCCATCAAAAATCAGAGCAGCCCCAGAGCTGCTCTACTTCTGGCAGCAACAGTTGCCTTGATTCCGGCTTGAGGCAACTTTATACCCTCTTTACATTGCTGATGCCATGCAAAATGGAGCAAAGCAAAACTGACTCCTAGGGTGAATGTAAATATTTTTGTTTGTTTGTTTTCTTTTCTTTCAGGAATCTATGTACATTGAGGAGTCCTCAAATAAAAATGGTGTGATTTCTTTGATTTTCTCTCTGAAAGAAGAAGTTGGGGCATTGGCTAAAGTTCTCCGCACATTTGAGGTAAATATTTTCCTTCAGGAGACCTGACCAGATCTTTAAATTTTTGAATTGCAATAACATTTGTTCAGGCTATTTGTGGTCATGTTTATGATTCCATTTCATTGCCATAATGGGGGAAAGCAGCATGCATTTACTTTCAGGGGTTAAAATCCCTTAAAGTCTTGGCGTAGAAGTAGCCTTTTTAAGTTAAAATTTGATTTCAAACTTTTAAATCAAAACCTCTACTTTTAATGGGTATGAGGGTGGAAAAAATGCATATTTTCCATTTAAGAAGAAAATATTCCACTGTAATTGATTGAGTAAGAGGCAGAAGTGAACTGGGACATAACCTGAGATTGACATCCGAGTATGTATATGTACAGGAACACGTACACGTACACATACACGTGTACATATACGTATATGTATAGAAAGGCAAATATGCATGTGAGCCCTGTGACTCACAGTACACAGGTTGCATGAAGTATTTCTGCTGATGGCAGCTACCATCCTCTTAGCCCTTGTCCACCACAGTAAATCTAATATAAATAAGCCCTCATCTCCTACCAGTGGTACTTCTACCGAGGTGGCAGAGAGTACCTACAAAACAGCAACCAAACGACAGCGCTTTGTTTATGCCAAAGGGACTCAGCAACTTGTACTGGCTGATTTGGAACATTTTTGAGGAAACAAGAAGCCATTTACCTTTCAGGACACTATGTGCCTATTTATTCTTGCAGAAATATTTCCCAGATGTCATGGAAGCTGTTTAAAAAGCACAAAATCCTTGTAATTCAGAGTGGTTGTGTTGCAACACACAGAGCTGTGTACTCTGCACTCTCACGCAAATACACTGTTCTATTGGCTTAGTGACTTGGGGTTTTTTTAGAACATCATCATGTAATTGTTGTGCCTGAAAGCAGTTCTTTCTATAGAACACTGTAAAAAGTTGTGGCCTGCATACTTTCCATTCATAAACATAATTGAGTAGGAAATGAAAGGTTTGTGTGGTATTAGTACAAATGAAAAATCGTTATGAGTTATAGGACATATTTGATTCATTAAGATGAAGTGAAATTCATACCAATGTCAGTCAGCAGAGCTCATCTAAATCTGTGAACTGACCACTGTAACGCAGTTTTGCAAAATGTCCATATGTCAGTGGCGTGCATGTCTGTAAGTGAATTAAGGAGACTGTTGATATTCTCTGGTTAAATGTGCTGCTGACTACTAACCAAATCGCTGTCATGTCTAGAGGAAAATCTGCAGGGGAACTAGTATATGAAAGAGAGAAATAGCCACTATTGGATGTGATTCTTCTTGCCCCAAAGCAGGTACCTAAACCCAACTGGCTGAGTCATGGTATTCCCCAGTGGCCCTGATGGTAACTGCGGGGTTGGGTCTCAGCCAAAGATGTCTGCTCTGATGGCTGGGTGGTTTCCCAGCCCAACAAAGCCAACTCTTTCTGTGCAAACCTTCACTGTCCACCAAGGCTTGTCAAGAGATGTGGCATAGGTGCTCTTATCTCAGTTTTGCATGCTGTTGGCAATGTAGTGGGGAAACAGATGGATGGCTGGAGGAAAGGGATTTAATGGCACAAGCCTGACCTGCAGCTGTAGCTTCTCAGGGCTGTCACTGGTGAATTTATGAGTGCTGGGGTGTCTAAACCAGAGCAGCCGTTGGGCTATTCTAACTCAGTGTGAAGGACCTCACCCTCTGTGCAGCAGTGTGCATGGATGGCTGAGATAACCTCCACCCTTTCCTACTTGGGCCATGTTCATGGTGCCTCAGAGTTACAGACTGCGCCCAGTGGCATCCACAGCGGAGAAGGGGAAGATGGTGATATGCAGGTGAAGGGTGGGGACAGGAGGAAGACCTCAAGAGGACTTTTTCCTCTTGTACCCCTTCCCTGCTTAATAAAATCAACTGTGAGATGCAAGTTAGCTACAAGAGTTAGTTCAGACTCTCTGTTGGTGGGCTCCTCTGGGCAGGGAGACCTCTTGCCTTGTCCCCAGGGTTTCTGTCATCGGCTGGGCGCCAGCCCAGGGAGATGCAGTGGGTTTGTCTCAGACGGGCGGCGCAGGGAGGAAATGTGGAAACGGCTGCTCTGGCTGTCGTTGCCTCATGCAACCACATGAAGTAGGAAAAATAAAAACACAAAAGCCACAAAATATGATCACACTGTTCCCTGGCGTGGACGCAGCATGGCAGCATCGACGCCCACAGAGGGCCAGACCTTGTGTGGCCTCTGGTGCTGATGGCCGTGTGTGGCATGTTGGGAGCCTCTCTCATCCTTGCTGAGGCTGGGGGCTGACCAGGGGTCTCTCTGGGCACTCGCCGTGGGAATGCAGGCAGAGAGCACAGCTCAACCCTCTCCTCCTCCCAGCTTGCTCTTGGGAGTGATCAAGGGACAGTGCCTCCAGCACTGGCTTTGAGGATTTTGCCTCTTCTCTAGCCAATCTATAAAACTACTCTGGGAAGTGAATGGAGGAGGAGGAGGGTTACATGAGCTGTAAATATGAATATCTTAAAAATAAATCCTCTCTCAAGATAGAGAAGAAAGCCTTGAAGCAAGATCCAGATGAAGACACAGGGAATTGAGGGGGATACCTAAAGAAAGGAGAGATCTCATGGTGCCATCAGCAGCCAGGCTGTCTTTCTGTAAAGGAGGTGTCTGTGTGGACCTGTGAAGGTCTATCCTCTCCTTGGTTTAAGAGCTGGAGGAAAAATTTCTATTACTCTGTGAAGGCTGTTCAGTCACTCTTGTGTCCCTGCCTGGGATGCAAGAGCATGTCCTCACTCCCAGGTTCACATCCTGCCCATGTCCTACTTCTGTGCTGGGGTGAAACTTGCCCAGGCATTAGCCTCCACCACAGCTTGACTCCACGGGGAGCAAGAGCCCAAAGAGAGCTGTGCTGTGCTCCAGCCTGGCCCTGCACCTGGATAACAGGAGGTCCAGGACTTCTGGCTCATCAAGCACCATGGCTGCTCCCCAGTACAGATGTAATCTGTACTCACCAGGAAGGAAAACCTCCCAGGGAAGGAAGCAGTGTCCAAACACAGCCCAGGTGAACTGGGTGAGCCCTCATTGTGGGCCAGGATGGACTGAAGGTAGGAGAGCCTTATATCCAGGTAGGGGAAGGGACAAGGCCAGTGGCTTGTGCCAGAGAGAGTGCTCACAGCACAGAATTTTATCCTGTAACTGAGACACCAAGTTTAAGAGACTTTCAATGTGTTTTGGGGAAACATTAATGTTTGTCCTACTCAAACATCCCTCAGGGTTGATCATGCAGTTGACAGAGTGCTGCATGATCTCACATTTGTATTTTTGCTTGAAGACCCAAACTCTTGCTTTCTGTTCAGGTCCCAGCTTCAGACAAGTGTGTGGCTACAGTGAGTGACAACTGTTGTTTTTCCTATGTAGCTTGAAGACTTTTCTTCTGAGGAATATCCTCTATGTACTCAGCTCCTTATGTCTCCGTGCTTTATGTCCAAAATATACTTGATTATATCCACTTTTTTCTTATGTTTACTCTTGATTCATACTCTCTCTAATGAGTTTCAGTTGTTGGGCCAATGCACAATGTCCAAAAAGAGCAAGCAGTCTATGGAAGAAGGGCTGGACCCTCAGAAGAGCAGGAACATATTTGAAGAAAGACTATATGGCTTTTTAAGTTGAAAAGCTTTAATCTTTATCTGTTCTAGTGTTCATGCAACTTCCTTTTAGTTCTGCTTGGGCAACACCTCTACCCTTATTGCAAACTTGAGAATGGCTGTAGTGACGGATGTCACTAGTGTAGGACAGTTGGGTAGCATAAACCCAGTCTTTACCACCTTAATTTTACTAGGACCTGCAGTACACCAGGGCACTGCTTGGTGCAGCCGTATGCTGTTTATCTGGTTCATGCTGTTATAGAAGATGGTAGCTAGGAATCCAATACTCAAATAAATACTTTTTTGAAACAAAACATTACACATAAGTAAAATATCATGCTTAAATTCAGGAAGACAGAATAGTCATTGTGGAATTATATTTCTTTTTTGATTCACTGGACACATCGAGGAGTTACAAAGTATAAGTCCAGGTCAGAAAAAGATAGAAATTTTTCTTATCCAAACTGAAAAAGTAAAGCAGAGCATTTGGAGTTAACTCAAGTGTTACACTTGATGGAATGTTTATTTTTCCCTGTAGTGATGGAAACCTGTTGAAATTGAGATCTCTTTTTTAAACAGCAACGAAGTCCATTCTGAAAGAAAGAAAAAAGAAATTGTCCCCCCTCAAAGACTGGCATTTCCAGAGTTAAATTCAACATTAAAAAATATCAGAACTAAACATTTCAATATGTAAAAAGGATTGCCCTCAGTTTTAATTGAAAATTTTCCACATGAATTTATGACGATATTAACCTCCTCAGAAGTTAATTTCCTGATGGATTTACAAGTAGAAGGACACATGTCAGCTGTAGCATGTAGCAAACATTGGGTTGGAATATATTACAAGTTTGATCAACTCGTTCTCATAGAGGAGCCTTCTATGTTCTTTTCACTGATGTGACCTTCCCAAGAGCAGGACTTCTGTACTAGGTATGGCTGCCAGTGGTGTTACTTAAAATGAGTAGGGCTCTAGCTCAAAAGCAGACTCATAGATTTGCACCGAGTAGTACTCCTGCTCCCGGAGTAAGTTAGTGCTCTGTGGGAAGACTGGATGAGAGTAACAGGCTATACTAAACGAGAACCTGTGCTTTTGAGAGCCAGCAAAAATGACCGTGCTCTTTTTCTGTTTAGGAGGTTACTTTATTCAACAGAAAGTCCAAAGTGACTGTTATCTCTTTGTCCCTCAGGAGGTACTGGCTTTGTAGTGTTTTGGGTTGTTTCCAAATCAGGAGAAGAGAGCAGTCACTTTGGCCAGGGGGTGTGTTGGAGATGTCTGCAGGGATAGGTGAACAGGCTAGGTGTGCCGTCTGCAGGGATAGGCCAACAGGCCAGGCATGACTCTACCAAAAGACTTGTTTTTTCATCAC